CAGCCATGCCCAGTTCCTGCAAGCATTCATCGTATGTTTTAACCTCCAGTCCCCTCATCATCTTGGTTGCTCTTCTCTGCACTCTTTTTAGAGTCTCAACATCTTTTTTATAGCATGGTGACCAAAACTGGATGCAGGACTCTAGGTGTGGCCTTACTAGGGCTTTATAGAGTGGGGTTAGTCCCAAATTTAATTCTCAGTCTGTCCAGACCAACAGCTGTACAGATACTTAACACCATTAGTCGCCGTTTGAAGTTACGCCGACACTGGAAAAAGTTACTTATGACTTGTTTTACGACTGTTGCAGGGTCCCCGTTTATTATGTGATCAAAATTTAAAAGATGCTCGGCAACTGGCATGTACTCATGACGGGTGCAGCATGGGGGGGGGGGGTCCATGTGATCCCCGTTTTGCGACTTTCTGAAATCTGGGGAGGCCAGATTCCCTGAATGACAATGTCAACCAATTTAACGGCTGCCATGGTTCACTTCACGACGACGGCAGGAAAGGCCATAAAATGGAGCAAAGCCCCACTTCACTACTGTCTCGTTTAGCAACAAAAATCTGGGGCCCAATCTTGGTCATAAGTCGAGGACTCCCTATTACCACGGCATAACACCTCTAATCCTTTTGTTTGTTTTGTTTTGCGCCCTGCCTTTATTTTTTGCAAATAACTCAAGGCGACGAGCACAACCAATACCCTCCCCTTCCTCCTTTTTTCCCCAGAAAAACAACCCTGCGAGGTGGGTTGGGCTGAGCACCAAAAAAGTCACAATTCCACAAATTTCTAAGGGTGGTGGTGGTAAAAACAACAACAGGAGGGTTTAACACCCCACAGTGGAAGTAAACCACGGGGCGCACTCTTATGTCCGTCTCGCCGCCCCCCCCCCCTCAACTGCATCTGGATGCACAAAGACGGTACAGTAAGATTAGCAGCTGGGGGGGAAAAGCCCATTATACTCACTCAACAATACTAACCTCAGTTTGCAGAACTCTGGAATGAGAGCGGAAAAAGATTCTGCAAAAAAATGAACGTTCCCCCCGCCCCCACTCTGTTGTGAAGGGGACGATCCACTCCTCCACAATGCCACAAGGCAGAGCTCCAAAAGAGGAGCTGTACCTGGGGAGCATTTACACAACCAGACAACCCCCAAGTGGCTGCCTCTTGCATTACCAGTTTGGGTCTGCAGGTTGCAATGTGTGTGTGTGTGTGTGTGTGTGTGTGTGTGTGTGTGTGTGTGTATATAGTATATATATATAGTATACATCCATATTATGTATGCACAGTGTTAGATCTGAGCATCATTCATATTGATCCAATTTACCAACAATATCAGTGTTCTTTTTCACACTCATCGAATGTAAATAATTCTCTTTATGTTATTAAAAAATTACATAAAAAACCCTAACATCTATACCTTTAATCTTTCTATCTATTATTCTTTTATTTTTTAGAAAAACATATTTCCCCTATCTAATTTATTTCTGATTCTCCAACTTACAATCAAGCTACGTTCATATTTAGAAATATCTTAATATATTGCAGGTTGCAATTTTGAAGCACGGACACAAACAAGTGAGGAGGAGGAAGAGAAAACCACGAAGGACAAATCTTTGCCAGCCTGCCATAACTGCATGGAGCCAACTTGGAGGCATCTAGCGTAAACAGACAGCAAGCCAGGATGTCCCATCCATTTAGAAGGGGCTGGAAAGGAACTCCCCCCCCCCACCCAAGAGGCAAAGCTTTCCCGACGGTAAAGGAGAGTATTTGTAGTTCAGGGTTGAAATGGAAGGGTCCTTGATGCTCTCAGAGGTTATTTTCTGAACCAACTAGGGTGTATCATCAGTGCTAGAAGGGAGGATGATTTTGCAGCATGGAGGAAGAGGAGGAGGACGGTGGGGTCCTTGATGCTTTCTGAGGTTGGTGGTTTTCTTGCAGATGTTTCATTACCCCTTTATGTAACACCATCAGTGCTGCTGCTGCTGAGCAACCAATGATCTTACCTTATTTGGGCAATGAAACGTCTGCAAGAAAACCGCCAAGCTTGGAGAGCATCAAGGACCTCCCCCCGCCCAACAATGTTGGGAGACTGGAGTGCCATTGGTCAGAAATGGTGTAGGGTCTCCTGCTTGGGCAGGGGGTTGGACTAGATGACCTACCAGGTCCCTTCCAACTCTGTTGATCTGAATATATCTAAGATGATCAAAGGCCTGGAGGCTAAAACATATGATGAACAGTTGCAGGAACTGGGCATGGCTAGTCTAGTGAAGAGAAGGACCAGGGGAGACATGAGAGCAGTCTTCCAATATTTGAGCGGCTGCCACAGAGAGGAGAGGGTTCAATCTATTCTCCAAAGCACCCAAAGGCCAGACAAGGAATAATGGATGGAAACTGAACAAGGAGAGATTCAACCTGGAAATAAGGAGGAATTTTCTGACAGTGAGAACCATTGTTTCTTATCCTGCCTTCTGGTGCTTTGGAGAATAGATTGACCCCCTCTTCTTTGTGGCAGCCCCTCAAATACTGGAAGACTGCTATCATGGCTCCCCTAATCCTTCTTTTCTCTAGACTAGCCAAACTCCAACTGTTCTTCATACGTTTTATTCTCCAGAAATTACTGGCTCTGTGTGTTCTATTAAGACATTATGAGATCAGCAATCATTTGTGTAGCAACCATTCAAAGTTACAATGGCATTGAAAAAAGCAACATGGCAGTCCTCCCACTTATGATGGTTGCAGCCTCTCCACAGTCAAGTGATCAAAATTTGGGTATTTGGCAACTGGTGCGTTGCAGTCAACCCATGGAACAGAAGTTGCCTTCGGAAGTTGTGGGAGCTTCATCACTGGAGGCTTTCAAGATGAGATTGGACTGCTATTTCTCAGAAATGGTGTAGGTAGGGCGGACTAAATGACCTCCAAGGTCCCTTCCAACTCTGTTAATCTGTTAATGTATAAATTGGTCAATGCAAATTGTTTCTGCAGCAATTAGGTTTTGTTTTTTAAAAAAATGAGGTGGGGGTGTCTGCTCAACCTTCTGTTCTCCAGCCTAGAGTGATGTATTTATAGACCGTTCAGGAACAAAAGAGGTACAAGGAAAGAGCAGAAAACAAATTAAAATTCAGGCTTATTGATTGTTATTGATAGTCCCAAGAGTCCCAGAAGGAGACAGTGCCTTTTTTCTCTGGCCGAGAGGCATCACATCCAGTTTTTCAATTTTCTTTTTAAAAAAGAAAGGAAAGGAAAGGTGGAAAGGGAAGGGAAAGAAAGGAAGATAGAAGAAGGAAAGGAGGAAAGGAAAGAAGGGAAGGGAAGGAAAAGAAAGAAAAAGAAAGGAAAGGAAAAGGAAGATAGAAGAAGGAAAGGAGGAAAGGAAAGAAGGGAAGGGAAGGAAAAGAAAGAAAAAGAAAGGAAAGGAAAAGGAAGATAGAAGAAGGAAAGGGAGGGGAGGGGAGGAAAGAGAGGTGAGGCAATCCTTGACTTAAGACCTTTATTAAGGTCTTAAGTCCAACATGTCAGTTGTTAAGTCAAGCATTTGCTCAGTAGGTTTTGTCCCTATTTTACAACCTTCCTTGCCACCGTTAAGCGAATCCCTGCCGTTGTAAAACCTAGTCACATGGTTGTTAAGTGAATCCGGCTTCCCACATTGACTTTGCTCATCCGAAGGTCGCAAAAGAGAATCGCGTTGATCGCAGGGAAAGGACATAAGTGTGAAAAACGTTTCTAAGTCGCATTTTTCCCCAGTGCCGTAACTTTGAACGGTCGCTAAATTAACTCGAGGACTGCCTGAGTAGGCTGTTTCTGACTTACGACCACAGTTGGGTTGAGAATTTCTATCTCCGAGAAAGGCGTTTGTTAAGTGAGTCTCATCCGATTGTACAATCCTTTTTGCGTTGCGGCTGCTAAGCCAATCCCTACCGTTGTTAAGAGAATCACGTGGTCATTAAACAAAGCTGGCTTCCGCCATCAACTTGGCAACCGGCTGGGAAAGTCACCCCCACGATCCACGCATGCCGCAACCATCAAAAATACATGCTGAGTGGCAAGCGTCCAAATTTTGCGCAGGGGCTGTGGGGATGTTGCGACGGTCATAATGCGAGGACCGGTCTCAAGTCACTTTTGGGGGAGGGATGTTGCTATGGTCGTAATGCGAGGACCAGTCGCAAGTCACTTTTGGGGGGATGTTGCAATGGTCGTAATGTGAGGACCAGCCGCAAGTCACTTTCAACCGTTGCTAAACAAATGGTCGTAAGTCGAGGACTACCTGTGAAGCAGGCGTTTTGAGCAGGAAATGGGCAGCGTCTCCCCTGCCTCCCTCTTTCTCCCTTCAGTTGTGGCTACTCCATCGCTGGAGGTTTTCAAGAAGAGACTGGACAGCCATTTGTCCAGAAATGTATAGGGTTTCCTGCCTAAGCAGGGGGTTGGACTAGAAGACCTCCAAGGTCCCTTCCAGTCCTCTTATTCTATGTTCTCAATGCAAATACTGCTTGTTTTCTCATTATTACAAACACACCGAGAATCATCTCCTTGAGTCTCAAGAAGTATCTATGAAGGTCCATAAAACCTATTGGAATGGCAGAGGGTTTCCTGCTCCAACAGGGGGTTGGACTAGAAGACCTCCAAGGTCCCTTCCAGCCCCCTTATTCTATGTTCTCAGTGCAAACACTGCATGTTTTCTCATCATCACAAACACACCACAAGCCTCCTGAGATCTGGACAGCTGTAAAAAAAAAACCTATTACAATGGTACACGGTCTCCTGCTTATGCAGGGGGCTGGAATAGAGGTCCTCCAAGGGCCCTTCCAACTCTTGTTAACTGCAAACCCGGGAGAGGGAAGGATTGTGCTTCCAAAAATTGGCAAACCTGCCTTTTAATGGCCTCTTTCACTCCTTCCCTTTATTTTTCTTGACACAGCAGAAGTGCAGGAAAGGGAGGGGGAGCTGCAGAAAAGATGCGGCAGTGGCTGTCCTTGCATGAACTCAGCGGCGGCGGCTGCGAGAGAACGGCTGCGAGCAGCACCGGAGAGGAAAAACTGTGAGGGGGGAGAGGGAGAGAGGAGAGAGAGAGAGAGAAAGGAGAGAGAGAGAGAGGAGAGAGACAGAGAAAGAGAAGAAAGTGAGGAGAGAAAGAAGAAAGAGAAAAAGGCGAGAGACAGATACACAGAGAGAGGGAGAGGGAGGGTGGGAGGAGAGAGAAAGAGAGGAGAGAGAAAGAGAGACAGAGACAGACAGGGATGGAGAGAATCAGAGAGAGAAAGAAAAGAAATGGAAAGAGAAGAGAGAAAGAGAGGAGAGAGGAAGTGAAAGAGAGAGAGGACACAGAGAGGGGGGAGAGCAAGAGAGAGGGGGAAGAGGAAGAGAAAGAGAGAAGAATGACAGACAGTCAGAGGGAGAGAATGAAAAAATAAAAAAAGACAAGGGAAGAGAAGAGAGAGGAGAGAGAACAAGAAAGAGAAAGAGAGAGGGGGGGAGAATGAGAGAGAAAAGAGAACAGAGGAATGACAGAGAGAGAAAGAGAGAGGAGAGAAAGAGAGGGTGAGAAAGAGAGGGAGAGAATGAGAGAGAAAAGGGAGAGAGGAGAGACAGAGAGAGGGGGAGAGGAAGAGAGAGGGAGAGAGAGGGTGGGTAGCAGGGGAAGGATGAGGTCAACTCCCAAAAAGGAAGCTGACAGGCATTCATTCCGAGGCAGGCGAGGGAGGGAGGGAGGCCAGGAGCAACTGCAGAGCTTTGGGGACAAATGAAAAATAATCCGCTGGTCTTTGCCAGGTTCGTTTTGCAATGCTGAGGAACGCGTATTCAGAACACAGAATAACAGCCCTGGAAGGGACTTTGGAGGTCTTCTAGTCCACCCCACCTGCCCTGCACCATTCCAGACAAATGGCTGTCCAGTCTCTTCGTAAAAAAACCCCAGTGTTGAAGCACCTAAAACTTCCGGAGGCAACTTCTTTTCCACTGGTTAATTGTTCTCACTGTCAGGAAATTCCTCCTTAGTTCTAGATTGAAAGTCTATGGAGCTTCTCCATAGGTCCTGCTTGTCCCAAAGGTGCTTTTTCAGGAAGCAACAGGACTTTCTGGGGGGGTTTCTTTTGAAAACGTTTTGCTTCTCATCAAAGAAGCTTCTTCAGATCTGAGTGGATGGAGGGGAAAGGAAGGATTTACACTCCTTGCAGGCAGGTGGTCATTTGCATCCTTTTAGAGGGTTGTTGAGGCCACTTGGAGGCTTGTCTGTGTCCTCAGGGTCACCTGAGTAGTGTAAATGCAGGCTACAGGAACCATTTGCAGCACTCAGGTGACCCCGAGGACACAGATAAACCTCCAAGCGGCCTCAACGACCCTCTAAAAGGATGCAAATGACCAGCTTTCTGCAGGGAGTGTAAATCCTTCCATTCCCCACCATCCAGTCAGAGCTGAAGAAGCTTCTTGGATGAGAAGTGAAACATCTTCATCCATTCATATCTCCTTTCCTCCCTCCTTCCACTCACTCACCCATGCCTCCATCCATCTATCCATCCCTTCACCCACTCACCCACCCATGCCTCCATCCCTACCTCCCTCAATTTATCCTTCCATCCTTCCATCAATCCATCCACCCCTCAATTCATCAATCCACCCACCCCTTCCTCCCTCTACCCACCCCCTCACATCCATCCACCCAGCTTTCCAAACCGTAACCTGGGTTCAAGAGCCCAGCTCACCCGATTCTCGTCGTAGATGATCTGGACCAGGCTGCGGTGCTTCGACTCCAGCGGTGGAGGAGAGATGGATTTCTCGGGCTCCAGCGGTTTGGCCGCTTCCTCCTCTAGCTGTTGCTGCAGATAGAAGCAGAGGAGCAATCAAAAACAAGGCAGGGGGCGCTCTTTGGAAGCCCCCCCCTCACAGAGACCAACGCCCTAATTGCCTCCCTACAAATTGCCATACAGGCAGTCCTCAACTTACAACGGTTCTTTTCACGGTGGTTCAAAGTTACGACAGCCTTGGAAGAAGCGAGTTATCACTCCACCCAAGTTCCAACCGTTGCAACAACCTGTCTCACCTTTATGACATTTGCCGTGTCCGACAATTGTGAGTTGCGAACTTCCCCAGCTGGCTTCCTTCAAGCAGAATTGGGAAAGGGTTCATTTAACGACTGCGAATTCTCTTAATCACCCCGGACAAAATGGTCGCAAAATCAGAGCCAGTCATGTGACAACTCGCTTAACAACCAAAATTCTGGTCCCAACTGTGGCGTAAGTCGAAGACTGCCTGTTTGTGTGTCTGTGGCAACTGCGGTCATTAAACCCAATCCTGGGAAATCTGGGTTTTGTAGATGTTTTCTAGTTGATGCCTCTAAAAGCCACCTGTCTCCCCATCACACCCTCCCCATGTTCTATCTGGCAGAAGGATGTGATCTAGTCATACCTAGAACCCGATCAAAACAGATCCGTGTCTCTCACCGAATCCATTCTGGACCTTCTCGGGTTGAAATCCAGATGAAAACACCTCAACCGGAGTCCATAACGTCAGTTTGGGGAGGATCTTTTTTTAATTTTAATTTATTATTTTTCCATCACCACTCTTACCTCATTAATCTTACAGTGTGTCATCTGGGTACAGCCTTTGTGTCATCACATTTAATAATTTCAACATGTTTAATCTATTTTTATCTTGCCTTCACATTTACATTTCAGTTACTTTTTAATTCAGCTCCTCCCCTATAATTCTACAGTTTTTTTTCCTCCCCCAAATTATTCAATTTTCTGTTTCTTTTTGTCTGTATTCATTTTCTCTCCAGTGGTACAAACATCCCCATATCTTATAATATTCTGATTCTTCCTTCTCTTTAATTGCCAACGTTAATCTGTTCATTTCTGCACGGTCCAATATTTTTTTAATTACCTCTCCCTTGGAGGGAATTTTTTTCCATTTTCCAATTTTGTGCAAATACAATTCTAGCTGCAGTTATTTCGTGAATAATTAAATATACATTTTCTTTACTCTTATTTCTCTGGTAAAATACCCAACAAAAGCAATTTAAATCAATATGCTGCTGTATCGTCCTTTCCAACCACATGCAAATTTTTGCCCAATATTTTTTTGCCTCTGCACATGTCCACCATATGGTAATATAATCCCGGAAGTGTCTGGTGACACTTCCAACCCTTAGTTGATCTATCTTTAAAGTTTGAGGGGGAAGATCTTGCTACCTGCTTTTTCCTCAACTTGGAGATCTGCTGTTCTACCATGGTTATCTCTCGGTCCACACGATCCATGTTTTGGATCAGCTCCTCCTTCGAGAGCCGGGATGGGAGGAGATCCAGTTCCGAGTCAGGATGGGCAGAAGGGATGGGAGAAACGGGCTCCAGTTTCCCAGCAATGCCTCGGTCCTGCAGATGGAAAGAGGAGAACAGAAGCTTCATGAGAAGAAAGCTTCTTCTAAGGAACCTCTAGGAGAACTCAAGGGGTGGTCTTCTTGAACACCCAATGCTTCCGTCGTCTGAACACAGCCAATTTGGGCCTGTTGACTTGGCCACTGTCCTTCACTCCTCACCCAGACCCTCCTCCTTTCTCTAGCTGACTCCATCTGTAACCTTAAACCAGGGAGAAGCTGCCTGGCTGGCCCTCAAAACAGCTGCTTCCTACCAGGAGACCTCATCCAAGTTGGCCATCTCGATTTCTGACGAGCAGGAAAGAGAGACAAGACCTCCATTGTTCCACAACACCAACTGTCACTCCCTCGATGTCCTCCAGAAGGGACCACACCATTATCCTCTCCTCACAACTCGACTTCCTTCTTTGGACAGCTGGCTGGTTGGGGGGCAGGGGAGATGGTTGCCTTCTTTGCAGCACCCAGAAGCCAAGTCTCTCCATCATCTTGGCAGGCCTCCTTGTCATCTCCAATAGCCTACTCATCTCCCTCCACTCACCCCCCAACGGGGGAGGATTTAGCAATCTCAGCTTCTGCCAAAATTCAAGCATGATCAACCTCCAACTTGGACAAACCATCAAACAGTAAACAACAGCTCAATCAAGGAACCACCAAAAAATACTCCCACCAACACAGACAGGGGAAGCCACTTGTATGTAAAAAGACAGCAAACCCCATACATCCTCCTAGCACTGATGATGTTACCCAGTTGGGTCACGAAATGTCTGCAAGAAAACCACCAAGCTTAGAGAGCACCAAGGAACCTACAGTCGTCGTCCTCCTCCTCCCATCTTCTCCTCCACTCCACAAACCCCATTCAGTTCTAGCACTGATGATATTACCCAGTTAGGTGATGAAATTTCCACAAGAAAACAACCAAGCTTAGAGAGCACCAAGAATCTCAGTCATCATCACCATTGTCCTTCTCCTCCTCCTCCTCCACTACCACCTCCCCATCTCCTTCTCCTCCACAAACCCCTCTCCCTTCTAGCTCTCATGATGTTATTACCTAGTTGGGTCATGAAATGTCTGCAAGAAAACTACCAAGCTCCTCCCCCATCTCCTTTTTCATTCTACAAACCCCACTCCCTTCTAGCACTGATGATGTTACCTAGTTGGATAATGAAAGGTCTGCAAGAAAACAACCAAGCTCAGAGAGCACCAAGGACTCTATAATAATCCTCCTTCTCCTCTTCCCAATCTCCACTCCCTTCTACCACTGATGATATTCCCTAATTGGGTCATGAAACGTCTCCAAGAAAACCACCTAGCTCAGAGAACGCCAAGGACCCCACAGTTCAACCCCAAGTTATAAATGTTCTCTTCTATCAGTTGAGGACTATAATGGGCGGGCTCTATTACAGTCGTAATTCGAGGACTCCCTGTACACCTTCTTCTCTTTCCAGCTTACCCTGGAGAAACCCTCTGTTGCTCCGTGGCTGAGCAGAGTCGGAGGCCTCAGCAGCGGCTCCTGTAAGAGCTCCATCCGAGGCCGCTTGGTCTCAATGAACTCGATTTCCGATGGCTTGCTCAGATCAGAGAGATACGAGTGGGACTCAGTCCGAGCGTGCGTCTCCTGGGATCTGCAGGGAAGAGAAAGAGAGTGGGCCAAGGAGCTCCAAGTTGATCAACTTTAAATGTTTGGGGGGTTTTTAAGGCCATTTCTCCCAAGACAATTCATAAAGCCGTCTTTATTCATCCAAAAAGGCAAACTCCAAAATCGAACAAAGAAAGTGACAAGAAAAGTTTTAAGAGAAAAAAATGCCTTGTATTTTATACATAAGGTGGCTTAGTGGCTAAGATGCTGAGCTTGTCGATCAGAAAGGTTGACAGTTCAGCGGTTCGAATCCCTAGCACCACGTAATGGAGTGAGCTCCCGTTACTTGTCCCAGCTTCTACCAACCTAGCAGTTCGAAAGCACGTAAAAAATGCAAATAGAAAAATAGGAACCACCTTTAATGGGAGGGGAACAGTGTTCCGTGCGCCTTTGGTGTTTAGTCATGCCGGCCACATGACCATGGAGACGTCTTTGGACAGCGCTGGCTCTTCGGCTTTGAAACAGAGATAAGCACTGCCCCCTAGATTTGGGAACGACTAGCACATACGGTATGTGCGAGGGGAACTTTTACCTTTTGTTTCATATTTATCAATAATGGTTGGCTCCCTAAGGAATCTAACATCTGGGTAGGAGCAATGCAAAATATTATATTACTTTATTCATTAAACATGAAACTCAGTCAACTGAACATTCAAAAATGCATCGCAAATACCAGTGACTGGTGCTAATGGTTGATATGGGTTGCTCCCAGCATCCTAGATATCAACCAAGTACCTTCTTAAAATATAAGATGTTCCGAGTAGCAGAGTTTTTTGCAGTTCCGCTGTTGTTATTGCAGGAAGCTGCAATTTGTGGATATATCTTATAAAATTCTTGGACATGGTGCCAAGTGCCCCAATGATAATGGGTATCACTGTCAAATGCTTCATCCATAGCCATGTAGTTTCGATGGCCAGGTTGCGTTATTTCATTATTTTTTCTAGTTCTTTTTCTTCGACTCTGGCATCTCCAGGAACAGCGATATCAATAAACTGTACACTTCAGCCCTCTACAACCGTGATATCTGGCATGTTGTGCTCCAAATGACGATCTGTTTGTATTCGAAAGTCCCACAAGATCTTCACCTTCTCATTTTCAATAACTTTTTCCACTTTATGTTCCTCATATTTTTTACATAATGACCAGTGGATTAATTTAGCAACTCGGTCTTGTCTAGCTTTGTAATCAGTTTGTGTGATTTTGCTGCATTCACATATTAAATGTGAAACAGTTTCGACTTTGTTGTTGCAAAGCCTGCAGTTTGGGTTGTCAGTGGATTTTTGTATCTTCGCTTTCATGGCATTAGTTTGTAGTGATTGTTCTTGAGCAGCCAGTATTAAACCTTCCGTTTCTTTCTTGATGGTTCCCATCTTAAGCCATGTCCATGTCAAGTTGTCATCACATTTTCCTTCAATGTTTTCAAGTGCTGTCCATGCAAAGCTTTGGTTTCCCATCTATTTATTCTGTCATCCAGCTGTTTTTCCTTATATTCTGCCTTTGTTTCTGTTGCTTTTATGCTGTTCTCCATTTTCACAGCCTGCAGCAATTTTTCTGTACTTTGGTTCACATAATCATTCAAACTTCGTTTTTCTTCTTCTACAGTTTGATGGATTTGCAATAGCCCCCTGCCTCCTATTTTTCTTGTCAGGTACAACCAGTCGATGTCACTTCATGGATATAAAGCGTGGTACATATTCACATATTCAAAAGTTTGCGTGTTTTCCAGTCCAGTTCAATGGTTGGCTCCCTAAGGAATCTAACATCTGGGTAGGAGCAATGCAAATTATTATTATTATTATTATTATTATTATTATTATTATTATTATTATTATTATTATTAATGTGATGATGGTCCAATCGGAAGCAAGTCATCGTTTTGAGCAAAAATCGTGGTGACTGCAGCAACGTGGCCAGTTGCCCAGTACACAGAATAGGGTCTCTGTACGTATGTGTATGTGTGTGAGAGAGAGACAGAGACAGAGACAGAGGAGAAAGAGAAGAGATAGAGACAGAGAGAACAGAGGAGATAGAAAGAAGAGAGAGGAGAGAAGAGAGAGGGGAAAAAGAGGGAGAGAGAGGAGAAAAGAGAGAGAAGAGAGAGAAAGAAGAGAGAGAAGAGAGAGAGAGGAGAGGAGAGAGAAGAGAGAGAAAGAAGAGAGAGGACAGAAGAGAAAGAGAAGAGAGGAGAGAGAGGAGAAAAAAGAGGGAGAGAGGAGAAAAGAGAGAGGAGAGAGAAAGAAGAGAGGAGAGGAGAATGAGAGAGAGAGGAGAGAGACGAGAAAAGAGAGAGGGAAGAGAGAGAAAGAGAGGAGAGAAAAAGAAGATAGAGGAGAGAAGAGAGGAGAAAAGAGGAGAAAGAAAGAGGAGAGAGAGGAGAAAAGAGAGAGAGAGAGAGAGAAAGAAGAGAGGCAGACAGACAGATAAGACAGACAGAGAGAACTTCAAAATTAGGTCGTAAATATCTTTTGGGATGAAAAACATCTGTTGGGACCTCCAACGTATCCCATCTCTTTAGTCTTACCTTTCATTTCCCGGCTGAAATTCGGACAAGAGGGAGGGTCTGCGCCGTTGGGGGTGTAAGAGCGACCCTGGGGGCAGGTGGGAAGGATACTCTCTGGGATGGTGCTGATATTCCAAGAGACTCACATCCTAAAACAGAAGAATAAAGATTCAGGTCGAAATCACGTATAGATATAGTCCTCAACTTACAACAGTTCACTTAGCGACCACTCAAAGTTACAACGGCACTGAAAAAATAGGACCCTTTTTCACACTTATGACCGTTGCAGCCTCTCCATGGTCCCGTGACCACAATTCAGACACAAACTGGTTCGTATTTATGACGGTTGCAGTGTCCTGGGAGGTCACATGATCCCTTTTCAAACCCAACATTTCTGTTGCTAAACGAAACAGTTGTTCAGTTGAGCTTTGTGCCCCGTTGGACGACCTTTCTTGCCACCGTTGTTAAGTGAATTCTATGCCACGGTTAAATTAATCCCATGGTTGTGGAGTGGATCTGGCTCCCCGATCGACTTGGCTTGTCAGAAGGTCGCAAAAGGGGATTGCATGAGCCTGGGAGGGTGCCTTCTCTACATCCTCTATATCAGGGGTCTCCAACCGTAGCAACTTTAAGCCTGGAGGACTTCCACTCCCAGAATTCCCCAGCTGGCTGCGGGAATTGAAGTCCTCCAGACTTAAAGTTGCCAAGATTGGAGACCCCTGCTCTATATCAGCAGTCACCAACTGGGGGTCCATGGACCACTGCTGGTCCACGAGAAAAGTTTGGTGGTTCGCAGAAAAAATATTTTCATTTCTTACATTGCACTAAATCAGGGGTCCTCAAACTACGGCCCCTGGGCCAGATACATGCAATGAACGCACAGAGTCTCCCCCTTCGGGTTCTTTTTGTGTGGGTCGGAGGGGGGCAGAAATTCCAACTTGGGGTCTGCTTCAGCCTCCTGGTGGGGGGCTTTGGGCGAAGGCTGGAGGGAAGGCCAGAGGGCCTCGTTCCAGTGGGACTGCATCATGACCTGGAACTGGCTGACCATCTCAGCCCGCTGAGTCTCCAGGCACCAGTCCCTGCCCTTGCACTCCCACAGGTCTTCCCTCTGCTTGGAAAGCCTATGCTCCTAGTCCTCAGTGAGGTGTTTCTGTTGAGCCTCCTTC